TGGGCTTTTAACCAATTGTGTTCTTTAAAGAAAGTTAAGTATTCCTGATCCCATTTTTCATTCCCCATTGGTGAAGACCCTGACCTACTTTGAATCTACTAATAAACTGTTTTTCCACAGCCATTCTCCTTGCCTCTTCATATTCCAGTGGTTTAAAATGGCCTTATCCTTCTCTGTCTTCAGCTAATAGGATTATGAGCTGTTTCGTTTGCATTAAACCCTTGATGCTCTAAAGAAGTATTAAGAGGCCTGAAGAACATTTTGTTTACATAGACTGTGACTATTGGTATTTATCTTATTCACAATTTTAAAACTTAAATGGTGTATTCATTAAAGGCAACAATAAGCTTATGACACCAACAAAATATTTTCTTGAAAAATAACTACTTTTTTCAGAACAAAACAATGAATGGCGGTGTTGTATAATTTTGCAAATATCTTGGATGTCTGGTTTAAGTGAACAGGTATGCTTCTGTATTCAATCTAGCAATGGGATGTTTTGGTTGAAGATACTAAGAAAATCCAACCCCCAACACAGGCCCAGTTGGGAGAGGAAGGACTATGTCAGTCCTTTCAGAGAAGTGTAAACATTCTACTTTGAAACACATCAAAACTGCACTGAAGGTTAGCTGTAGTGTCTCCAACTCTACCAATGAACTCCTCATACTCTATTGACATTCACTGGCGTATCTAGCACTTTGACTTGATCTGTTGGGTGTTATTTTGTGGCATGGCCTGGCTGTTTGGAAACTTGCCTATCTTCCAAACATGGACACATTTCATTATTCAGTATTTAAAAAAGCCCCACCGGTCTCACTAAAAAAGAATGGGGAACCTGTCAGACAGTGCTGGATACAGGTTTTCCACAATCTTCATTTTTACTTTAAACCTTGGATTTTATTATTGCTGATAAATGCTGTCAGGCTCACATGGCTCATTTTCAAGGAAATATCTACCCATGACCTGAGCCTGAACGTACAAGCCTGGTAGCTTTTCTTTCGAGTAAAAATGGTACTCCATGAACACGTACCCCTAGTTCATTCAACTCAAACCAGTTGCCAAGTGCTTTTCCTGGAGGTAGTGAGCCTTGGTAGTATAGTGCTTATCAAGTTAGGTTGCTGTCGGCAAGGTTAGCAGTTGAAAACCTACAGCCACTTTGTTTCCTGCTCAAACAGCTCTCATCGGTTACAGCTTTGGAAACCCACACATGGTCCATGGGGACACTGTGAGTCATAACTGATTGGATGGCAGTGAACTTTCTCAGGCAACCATTATACTTCAATAAGGAACAAGCGTACTTCACTTACATCACATAAAATATTACTATTAAAAGGAAAAAGATGCTTACCTGAGAGTTGACAGTGAGTAAAATCAGTAATTTTTAGTGTTTCATTGAAGACTTATCTAAACGAAACAGGCTTTATTGTGACAAATACCATGACTACTAGTAGGGTTTGGTGCGATCGCCTTAATACTGTCACATGTCATCATGATACCAAAGGCAAATAATGTCTCAGTATACTTATAAAAATAATTTTGACCTCAGGAATATCCTGATGGGTTTCAGGGACCCTTAGTGGGCTCACAAGCCCTGAGAACCACTGCTGTAATTAATACAGAACACACAGACACACAAAGTCAAATCTGACAACAACCCTATCTATAGGGGTCGAGGCTCTAAGTCTTTATGGATGCAGTAGCCTCAACTCTGCGTGGAGTGGCTGGTGCGTTTGAACTGCTGACCACCATGGCTGATTAATGCGTGCTCCTCAAATTGCTAGGAATCTCCCTCCTGGTTGCTATTTCGAGAGCGCTCCTGCCA